ATGGTACCTGGGCAGTGGTAGTGAGTATGCTGGTGTGGGAAACAAGGATGTTATATAAACTCTTCACATATTTTAATGAAAGCGCTACATACTGCCACATACTAGTATTGGTCTCAGAGTTAGCTAACTGGAGGGAAAAAAAAAAAAAATTTTTTTTTTTTTTTTTTGATTTGTTTTTAAAAAAAAAAAAAAAAGTAGCAGCAATGGCCACACCCTGGATTGTGTCTGTGTTGAAGGGGGTGATGCCGTTTTAATGTAGGCGCACATAAGCATCTCCACGGCCAAGACACACATACAGTCACTCACTCACACTCACTCTCTCTCACACACACACACACACACACACACACACACATACACTCACCATAACTTTCTACCAGCTAAGACCAAACAGACCACCACATCCTGTGGTCGATACTGCAACCTCTCTGAGTGAGGACTCTGTGAAGAAAGCACACGAGGCTGTTTCCACAACCTGCTTCTGTCACAAATGACTGACCAATAAAATAAAAACTAATGATAACTTTAGCTCCCTGGAAGTCACTGAGTAGGAAAAACGTATTTCCTATACAGCCTTTGCATACAAAGCACTGACTTTTTCCCAAGCTCTCCAAAGCTGCTTTAAAAATATTTGCCATTGAAGTTAGTCTTGGAGCTACCATAAATACATGACGCTGAAGCAGGGGTGGATTAACCACTAAGCACAGGATGCACTGGCCTCCACTGAGCAAGGTACCTGCGGGCTTAGTTGGGTTTTCTTGCTGATCTGTGGTGAGCAATTTTACGTGGGTTTCATCATCTCTTTGCCATGGTGAGGGACAGGTGAAATTGTTTACTGCAGATGGTGGGAAGGCACAATTGGGGCCATGGGTACCTTGCTTATTGGGTAATCTGGCCCAGCACTGAAGAGGTCAGTTCTGAGGCTGAGATGTTTACTAAGCACATGGATATTTCGGTTTAAATTTTTCCCTGAAAATATCTGCTTCCAACCAGCCTTTGCTTCTGAGACACCTACAGTATGGATAATGGTCAAACTCCCCCAATTCTAGGTGTCTGGAGTTGGCTTTGTTTATTTTAGAACCAACTATTATGCACCAGATTCTTTGCTAGACCCTGGAGTAAGATTGTCTATTAGAGAAGAAAGGCAAATAAATTAAAACCTCAAAGAGAAATAGGCATTAACCAGACCAGGTGAGACCTACCACAGCTGTGAGGAATTGCAGGACCAAAATCTGAAAGACGAAGGAAGCCCGGAGAGGTGAGCCTGCTTTTCCAGCAGAGATCTGTTGATTCAAATGGCAGCAGCTTTAAGTCTGAGAAGCTGAACAGAACTCTGAATAACTCTCGGCCTAAAGAAACAAAGATTGGAGTTCAGGACCCTCCAAGGAGGAGAAGCCTAGGTAAACCCCTAGACTTTGGGTTGGCACCCTGAAGAACGACACTCAGGGTAAACTGGAAACAGATTACCCCTCAGAGGGACTGAAGCTCGGCTTCAAATCATCTGAATTCCTGATTGGATGAAGCTAATCTAAAATAGCTAGTGTTCCTAGCCTGAAAGTTTCCAGAAGCAAAGGTAAATCCTTTCCAGAGAGAGAAAACACTATCAAGACCACAAGTAATAGCTACAATTTTTTTTTCAAAGCAAAAAGAAAGTTTTATTCAGCATATATTCAAAGACACAAAAGTGGGAAATGGACAAGCATGCTGCCAGAGCCATGTCTGTCCAAGTCTAAGGAAATATTACAGAATAGACAAGAGTGGGAAAACAGAGAAGCATGCTGACAGAGCCACATCTGCCCAGGTCCAAGGAATACTACAGAATCGTCACTATATATTAACATTACAAATGGGCAAAACCATTGAAAGCTTCACCTTTTCACAGATAGGCTAGAAACTGCTAAATCTCCCTAATCCTACATTTTGAATTGTCTTTCTTAACAGTCATTGGTACAGGTTTCAGTTAGGAGTCAGGAGGGTCCTCACTGGTCCAACAAATCTTACTATTCAGTAAATGCTAACAAAAACATAAGTGGAAAGTATGTGGGTCTTTTGTGCTGTGTTTTATGATTTGTTTATGGGAAGGTTTCCCTAAAAGACATTTTCCAAGATTATCCTAGCTATTATCTTTATACCTCAGGGCCCAGTTGATATGTCCTTAATCTCTACAATTTTTTACATATAATGTTCAGGACTCAATCAAAAATAACCAGGCATGTAAGAAAATAAGAGGTGACCAAAAACCAAGAACAACAACAGACAATAGAAACAGATCTACAGGGTAGCAAGATATTAAAGTTTTCAGATGAAGACTTTAAAAAATGATGACCAGAAAACAGTATGTGTACAAATTTTTGAAAGAGAAATTAACTTGAGCTGTAAACTTTCACCTGAAGCACAATTAAAAAAAAAAAAATTGATGGCTAAGAAATCACAGTGAGATCGTATTTTGCACCGACCAGAATGGCTTAAATTTAAAAATGCTGACAATACCGACTGCTGGCAAGGAGAACTGTTTTTGTTCACTTTCTTTAAGAGAGAGAGCTAAAGTAAGTATAATGAACTGCTAACATCTGTTAAATCTGAGTGGCCAGTACATAACCAAAAAAACCAAACTCGTTGCCGTTGAGTCAATTCTGATTCACAGCGACCCAAAAGGGCAGAGTAGAACTTCCCTGTAGGGTTCCAAGACTGTAATCTTTTTGGAAGCAGACTGCCACATATTTCTCCTGTACAACAGCTGGTGGGTTTGAACCACCGACCTTTCCCTTAGCAGCCGAACACTTAACCACTGTGTCACCAGGGCTCCTTCGCCAGTATGTAGGTGTTTGTTATACGATTTTTTGTATACATGCACCTTTTTGTTATATGTCAGAATCAAATGTTTAAAAAAGAAGAAAAAAATGTGGCTAGAGAGATCAGTAGGGGCTAAATTACTTTAGCCTTCAGAAGTCATATAAAGAATTTGTTCTTTATTCTTCAGATAATAAGAAGCCACTGAAGGATTTTATATAGGAAAGTGGCATCATCAGGTTTGCTCTCTAGTAAAGAGAGTGAAGGCAAGGAGCCCAGCTAGAAAGCTCATGCAGTAACCAAGATGACAGCTGACAGGGGGCTTTGTCTGCTAGCAGTGAAGACAGTGATGAAGCAAAGATATAAATGATGAAGTATGAGTTTTCTAGGGACTTGGGATTTAGTTCTTAAAAAACTGTTGAATTTTATCCTGGTCACATTAGGAAACAAATGTGGCCGCTATGACACAGAGAAACCTAAAATGAGAACAATTTCATTAGAGCAAGGGCAACCTCCAGGATGGAGTCTGGAACCAGTGAAAATAAGAAAAATTTGAATTTTTCTGTAAATCCTTAGAAGAAACAGAAGCAGTTATAAAACTGAAAGCTAATAAGCACTCAGCACCATACCAGATGGTCAAATAGATACATTCACAACTTGCCAGAATTCTGAAGGCTTGTGCAACCCCTTCCAAACGTACAGATGCTTGTATGTGAGGAGAAAAAAAAATCTATTTCTGATTCTGACAGCAAATGCAAAAGTCACATCTTGCCAGGAGAGAATGATATCTCTCAACCACAAACCCACCGAGAATTTCACAATCTAATTCTCACTTTGGAGAAAAGGGTTTTCTTTGACCGCTGCTTCCACCATCCTTGCCAGAAAGCACAAGGAAAATGAGAGTGAACGACAGTTTCTGAAGAACTCAGCTTTTTCAATTGCACCCAAGAAAGTAGATCTGTGCCTCTAGATTATTCATGAGCAGCCCACGTGTTATTCTGTGAAGAAAAATCAAGCATATCAGGCAGAAATTTATCCCCACAGTCTGAAAAATGGCCTGAGGCACAGAGTCTAAATTATGACAATTTCTTCAACTACACTGAGCTGTGTAACTCTCCGCTGAGAAGAGACTGAAGAATTAATTTTCTTTAACATGACCCTTCGTGCCTTTTCAAAAGGTTAAGATTTAAAATTAAGCATATCAGTTCACCATCTAGCTAGTTTTGGTGTAAGTATATATTCTTGGATCTGACTTAGGAATGTCTAGTTTGCTGGATATAGGATTTTTATATGGTATTTTTTCCCATCTGTTTACACAACAAAGAATACTCAGAAATGTTCTTTTTGAAGGAGGCACTTTACGTATACATACACACAGTCTCTCGATTTTTATATATTCTTCTGGGTGAGCTTGGTTTTAGAGGCAGGTTGGTATACTAGTTGCAGTCAACATTCTTCCCACTCCAGAACAGGTAAAACTTAGACAAAAACATTTGTCTTAGATGCCCAAGATATAGGATGTCAGACATACTGAGAAGTTCAGAAAATAACCACTAAATAACTCAGCTTCCTGACTCAACATTCACCCAGAAAGTATCTTTTCCCATTTTGTCCAAACAGTGATGCTGAATGAAAATTTCAACCAATCATAATTCAGGCAACTACATACATGGTAAATACCATCTAACAGATTTTAATAGTTATTAATAAAGCATTAATGAATTTACCATAGTTTTTAAATATATCTCCCTCTGATCAAATCTGTGAGAATGAATGTAATTTCTGAAGTTACAGCAGATTCCTTCAAATAGTTATCACCATCACAGATCCAGCAGTATAAAAATGCTCACAGGCAATTTGACACAAATGCTTTCCGTTTGAAATAAGAACTATGTGCTTAATGTCACTTTGGGGACATTCCAAGATTAATTTCAAGAGCATGTAAATACCCCTCAGAAACACATGAAATTCTTTTAGTTACCTGCTGCATCAACCTTCACAAATTAACAGAGAAAATTTCCAACTGATGAGCTGAGACTTGCCTGCTGCCCTGCCTGTTCACTGGGATGAACCTCAGGGACAAACCTAAGCACATCATTTATAAAGCAGCTTTGGAATGTTACTAGAGATTAATCCCAGGGAAAAACCACAGACTGCTCAGGGAATGGACATTCACTTTCCAAGACACATGCTCTGAGAATGATAGTTACCGGGTTAACCATTTCTTCAGCAGAATGGTGAACGGTCCACCAGTCTGAGGTCCACTCCCACGCGTTCCCCACTATGTTGTACAAGCCATAACCATTGGGAGGAAAGGCGTCGACCTAAAAATAAAAAAGGAAATATGCTTTCAAAACACTCATCGCGTTTAGAAAATCTCTTTGGTGCAAAAATGCACTAAGAACTATAACTACAAAGTATGAATATTAATTTTCATCCCAACAGTCAAAATAAAATTTGGCCAATGTAAATGTAAAGAGGCAGTTTTTGGCTTTGGGCTCTCAAGAGGAGTTTATGAATCTAAGGAGAATTTATATTACATAGTAAGAAAGCCAGCAAAGCTATTCATTATAGAGAGACTATTCATAATATTGATTATAATTCATAACTGAATCTGGCAGTGCGTGGCAGACGGTGGGGTGAAGATTGATATTTAGACCTTCAGAGTGGTAACAGGAACATCAGATTGTACCCAGTATGAGTCTTGTCACCAAAGCTGAGCTTTGCTGGCCACACAATGTCTTTCAGCATCGAGAGACCACAAGTTAATTCCGTGCTCTCCACCAGCCCCCACCCCCACTCACCATCTTATCTTTAAGCCTCAGCCACTGTCATCAAAACACTGAGGGAACTTGTTTTTATAAAGAAAATGTGAATTCATTATCAAGCATTCTGGAAGTCTGAGGCCAACTGTGCACATTCTTCAGCAAGCAATTATATCACACTTCAAAGGCAGGTCAGACAGTCTGCCACATAATATTCTCACAGACACAAATCCAAAACATGTGAGGCTTTTTAAAAAGGATAAGAAGGGGGGAAGACAAGAGAAAAAACTTTACAATTTGGCTATTTTAGTGACTGACTTAAAATTTGTTCCCAGAATTTTTAATGGAAATTCTCAAACATACAGCAAAAAATTTTATTTTTTATGAAAAAAAAATCTAGTTATCTTTGGAATTTTTTAAATCTTTTTGTAAATCTATGCTTTTTTCCACAGTAATGAGGTAGGGCTAAAGTAACGAGTAAACTACAAGTCATTTCTGTGCCTTCTGAAGGTTTCACATCTTCACATAAATATGGAAGTATCTGATGCTTGGGGAAATTCGGAACACTTCAATCAATAGTTATGAAGCCATTCTGAAACAAAACTTAATCTGGAAGAGATGGAAAGTTGAAGAATTTCACCATTCTGCTTCCATAATCAGCATGCATTATGGAAACAGCAGCATTTAGTTATTGGTTCATTCAGTAATTCCATGCATACTGACTAAAGGCAGGAAAGGATTCAACGACAATTAAGACACATGGAGCTGAACGAGGGAAAAAAGAATAAACCCAAACCAAAAAATCCAAGAAAGGCAGAATAGGATGAGAAGGGTGAAATCAGTGCCACAGAAACTGCCAAGAGGGAATGACTTCTGGTTGAAGGTATCATCCTCTGCTAAGGAAGAAGTGTTTGAGCTGGCCTTGGAAGCGGGGTCAGAGTTCAAAGGGTAAGAGGAGCGGTACAGGAGAGGTCACAAGTTTAAAATGTTCTTTTAAGAATTTGGAGGTGATCAGAAAGAGCAACGTGGAGTAAAAAAACTGAACAGAGTAGAAAGAAAAAGAAGAAATCAATTTGTTTCAAGAGCAATTAAAAGATGAAACAAGCATTCTGGAGGAAGCAATCACTTCTCAGAGTTCTAGACAGTACAAGCCGAGGGGGCCCTCCGGTCAGTGAGTCTGAAGTCATAACTATGCGCCAAGACACAGCAGCTTGTTGTTGTTATTAGGTGCTGTCCAGTTGATTCTGACTCACGGCGATCCCGCGCGACAGAGCAGAACTGCCCCATAAGGTCTTCTAGGCTGTAATATTTACAGGAGCCGACAGCCATGCCTTTCTTCCACGGAGCCACTGGTAGGTCTGAACCACCTACTTCCAGTTATCAGCTGAGCAGCAAGCAATTTAACCTCTCTGGGTCTTTTAAACTATACAACGGGGAAATAACAGTACATACTTAAAGGGCTTTTTTAGGCAGGGAGGCGCCCTTTAAATAACGTTTAAGTGAGGTAAAATTTGGAAGGCAATACCCCCAAATTACCATATGTGAGTATGCCACTAGAGGTAAATAAAAAACTTAAGTGTTAATTGTTAAATTTATCACACTAACCAAACTTTCCTTCCAGGAACCTCAAAAGAAAACAACCCCACGTGAGAAATGCTTATTTTTGGTGAATGAACTGACAGGCATTAAAATCAGAACAAACGAACAACTATATAATAGCCGCCTAACAAAACAAACTCTTTTGGCTCTCTGTGGTCAAAACACTTGCACACAGTGTGTTAAAATCAGATCTGAAATAATAAAACAGATGAAAGAGGAGGTGAGGCGTTATTTCACTGTTGTCTGTCCCATCATTAAGGTTAAACTCCTGCTCTCAACTGATCAGAACATGTGGACCCAGCAGAGCAGCTGAGGAGGACTCAAGTTCTTTCTGCGGGTGCCAACAAACAAGCCAGTGGCCTTCGAGTCAATTCCGACTCCTGGCGACCCCACTGTGTCACAGTAGAGTTGTGCTCCAGAGGTTTTTCAAAGGCTGATTTTTTGGAAGTTGACTGCCAGGTCTTTCTTTAGAGATGCCTCTGGTGGACTCGACCCTCCAACCTTTTGGTTAGCGGCCATGCGTTAGCCATCTGCACCACCCAGCGACTCCTTCTATGTGTACACAGCCCCTATTTAAAGATACTGATCTAGTTAAGTCTCATTTCAAACACAGGGTGAAGTGGCCTCTCTAAGCTCCCTTTCTTCTTTCTCTCCGATCCTGTTTCTCACATAGATTACTTGAGGACGTCTAGTAACTATTCTAATTTCGTCTTAGTAACTTCCATGGCAACTTCCTTAGGTAAGTTTTGTTGAATATATTCCAAGCAGACATTGGCTGAACTTACAGATAAATGTTTTAACTCTAAACATCTGCAAAGTGTTCCAATACCAAACGGAACTTTGTGTTTTCTGAAAACACAAATTGATCTGAAGAGAGTAAATGGTTCTACTTTCCTTGGCAGCTTATGTACTTAAATAAAGCTACAAAATGTTCTATCAGCAAGTACTATAGTATTCATAACTGTCCAATACAGCCTTACCACCTTTTACTCAAACTATCAGGCAGTTATCTAATGTGTCTTGTTCACCAGGAAGAGTTATCACAGACTCGTTCAAACAAGGGCAATGAAAGCTATCATCATTCCTTTAGAAAGGGCTCAGCCATCTCTCAGGACCAAATGACCCATGTTCAATTCCTGTTCACAAGGAACCCTTCTCCACTTGGGCCTTCAAAATTCTCATTGAGTTTTTGTTGTGACAACTAAGACCTGCTCTTGCAGCTCCACCCACGTCCACACGCCAGGTATCAATGCTTACATAGAGACCCTCCTTGTCAGAGAGCATACATGGGGGGACCCAGGTGCTAAAGTCCTTCTCTGCCAGTCTCTCCCATGTGTTCCCTGCCAAAGAAGGTCAGGTGTGGGCCAGATGCTCAGCGTCACCCATTTTCAGGGCCAGGTGAATCCCCAGGCGAGCTGTTACAGACTCGGTAGCGAATTCCAACTTCCGTGGCCACTGTCCTGCTATGTCAACTCCGTTTCTGAGTTCTGATGAGCACCCACATTGGGCACCTTAAACAGGCATTCTGTTCATCCCGCAGCACCAGTTGTTCACCAAAAGTGGCCCCCTAGGCACTTCCATTCCATGCCCGGCTCTATGCCAGCAACCTGGGATTCTTACCCACTTAAAGTCTGAGACCATTTCAGCCCCAAGACCTTTACTTGTTAGCTTTACCAAATAAAACTATGTGTCTGCAAGAGCACCAGCTAACAGATGGTTCGGTTAGTCTTTGACCTCTTTATCCAGGTTGGATGAACAATTTGTATGTCAGGAACCCTACGGACCTCCACCACATTTACTGACTTCCCTCTGCCCAGACGTAGCTCACCATCTTCCGTGCCCTAACACATGCCCCACGCTCCACCTTCCTGGCACACCTCCTGAATTTAGAGCCTCCTGGAGTTTCTGAGATTAAATGTGATAAAACATACATTTAAAGAAAAAAAAAAAAACATTGCCATTGAGTGGATTCCGACTCACAGCAACCCTATAGGACTGAGTAAAACTGCCCCGCCCCATAGAGTTTCCAAGTAGTGCCTGGTGGATTCTAACTGCTGACCTTTTTGTTAGCAGCTGTAGCTCTTAACCACTACACCACCAGGGTTTCCAAAACATTATATAGAGGTATAAAATATGTATTAAAAAAAAAAACCCACTGCCATTGAGTCGATTCCAACTCATAGCAACCCTATACGGTTTCCAAGGCTGTAAATCTCTACGTAAGCAGACTGCCACATCTTTCCCCCGTGAAGCCACTGGTGGTTCCGAACTGCCAACCATTCGGTTAGCAGTCGATTGCTTTAACCACTGCGCCACCCTAATACATGCCCCATACTCCACTTCCCTGGCACACCTCCCCGAATTTACAGCCTTCTAGAGTTTCTTAGATTAAATGAGATAAAACATATATAAAGGTAAAAATACATATAGACAGCTAAATTCCTAAAGCCTAATAAGAACCCCAAAAGTAAATGCCAGATATATTTCTTTTTCTAAACTTGCTTTAGGCTAAGAGTCAGAAAACTTTTTCTTAAAGGGACAAACACTAAGTACTTCAGACTTTGTGGGCCAAGAGGCAAAATCTGGAATATAATGTAGGTGCTTATATAACAATTTAAAATGTAACCTCTTAAAAATGTAAAAACATTCTTAGCTGGATGGCCATTAAAAAAAAACAGGCAGCAAACCTGACTGGGCCCACAAGCCCCAGTCTGCTGACCCTTGCTCTAAGCTATAGCAGATAATTAAGTACTTGGTTTTAGAAGGACTGTGAAAAGAAGAAAAAACAAACCACACATAGTAAATCTAAAATGTATGGCCTGTGTGTGTCAAAAACCATCAAAAGTTCATGGTTACGAGGGACGGGAGGGGTGGGTGGGAATACTAAACAGACAATAGGTAAGTGATAACTTTGGTGAAGGGCAAGACAGTACACAATACTGGGTAAGTCAGCACAACTTGTACAAGGAAAGGTCATGGAAACTCCACAGACACATCCAAACTCCCTGAGGGATTGAACTGCTGGGCGAAGGGCTACGGGGACCATGGTCTCGGGATCATCTAGCTCAACTGGCATAACACAGTTTATAAAGAAAATGTTCTACATTCTACCTTGGTGAGTAGCATCTGGGGTCTTAAAAGCCTGTGAGCAGCCATGTAAGATACTCCTCTGGTCTCATCCCTTCGGGAGCAAGGGAGAATGAAGAGAACAAGACACAAGGGAAAGATTAATCCAAAGGACTAATGAAGCACAACTACCACAGCCTCCACCGGACTGAGTCCAGTACAACTAAATGGTGCCCAGCTACCACCACTGACTGCTCTGACTGGGATCACAACAGACAGTCCCGGACAGAGCTGGAGAAAAACGTAGAACAAAATTCTAACTCACAAAAAAAAGACCAGACTTACTGGCCTGACAGAGACTGGAGAAACCCCAAGAGTATGGCCCCCGGACACCCTTCTAGTTCAGTAATGAAGACACTCCCAAGGTTCACCCTTCATCCAAAGATTAGACAGCCCCATAAAACAAAACAAGACTAAAGGGGCACAACAGTCCAGGGGCTAGGACTAGAAGGCAGGAGGGGACAGGAAAGCTGGAATAGGGAACTCAAGGTCAAGAAGGGAGAGTGTTGACATGTCGTGGGGTTGTTAACCAATGTCATAAAACAACATGTGTACTAACTGTTTAATGAGAAACTACTTGTTCTGTAAACCTTCATCTAAAGTACAATAAAAAAAAATAATATAAAAAAAGTACAATAAAAAAAATACACCAAAAGTTCAGAAAATGCAACCTCATTTATGCAGTGCTTTTGTCTTCTCAAGGTCCCTGGGTGGCCCAAACAGTCTGCCATCAGCTGTTAACCTAAAGGTTGGCAGTTCGAACCCACCCAGCAGTGCTGCACATGAAAGGCCTTGCAATTTGTTTCTGTACAGATTGTTGTTGTTAGCTACCATCAAGTCAATTCCAACTCATGGTGACCTCATGGGTTACAGAGTAGAACTGTTCCATAGGGTTTTCTTGGCTATAATCTTAATGGAAGCAAATGGCTAGGGCTTTCTTCTGCAGTACTGCTGGGAACAGTTCTATTCTCTAACACATGGGGACGCCATGAGTCAGAATCTACTCAATGACAACGGATTTTTTCTTCTCAAGGCAAAAAATGAGTCTCTGAAAGCAGGGATCATCCCATATGGGTGTTTTTCTCTCTCTCTCAGTGCCTACCACAGGGCTGAATGCATAGCAAGTTCTTAAATTTTTACAGAATGAATGTTTTCAATCAGCACATTAAAAGGTCCTGATTAATTGGCCTAATATCATGCTTAGTGCCTCTGCTCTACCTCCTAGTTCACTATGTAGTGCCCGGGGGTCTTAAAATCTAGCAAGTGGTCATTCAAGGCACAATTGATCTCTATTCACCTGGAGCAACAGTGGAAGAAGGAGAGTCAGAAATAAGAGGAGGAAATGGAATGTGTGGCTAATTCCACAGCACCAAGCAGAGAGCCCACATGTATCTGCCTCCCTCGATGCTCAGTAAGGACCAGCCCCACCATCGATGTGCCCCAGGCACTACTGCTCCGCTCTGCGTGGCGGGCCTGCAGGTGGTGGCAGCTGGGCCAGTTGTGTTCCTGAGTACCACTGCCCAGTGCACCATGCTAGGCACACAGCCAGGCCTCCTTGGCGCCCCCTTACCCAGCTCTACCCCATTCTATCTGCTGGGCCCTCCATGCTGTGCAGCCCAGGGCCATCGAAGCACCTCTCTGGGCTTGTTTCCCCTACTTTCCACATGTGGGATTTCACTACTGCAGCAGTTTTTGGCCTTTTGGTGGCTGGAAAGCGGAGGGCAGTCTTAGATTCCTGACCTCTGTATGTCCACATAGTTTCAGGGGGTCTATGGAGAACTTGGGATTGGGTTTCCCTAAGCATCCTCTTTCCAACCCTTGGGCCCCAGGCTTGCTCTCAGCACATCCAAAGTGACACTTTCTCCCTTGCACCCCGTGGCAGAGGCCTCATAATTGGCATGTGGGGTTGACAAGTCTGGTGAGGAGGTGATGGGGGAATGATGCGTCTGGTCCCAGCACCATCCTACCCAAATCCCCAACCCTCCCTGCCTCTGCTGAGGGTTCAAAACCTGGCACAAATATGGCCCAGCAGTACAACGTAGATTTTTTTTTTTTTAGTTCAGTCTACAATAAAGTATCTAACTGGTCTCAAAGATTTTACAGACCAGAATCTCCTGAGTATTTTGGGTATCGTTTGCCCTGTAGGTTATCTCCTCAGTGGTGGGGAACGTATAAACAAATGGGTGCTGTTTGGTTATGCGCATCAAAACATTATTATTATTACTGAATTGTTATGTTAAAGACGTTTTAGTGTATCTGGAAGTGTTTCTATAATGTTTTTATGCATAGTAAGGCACACTATATACTATATACTAAGACAAACATTTGACTAACTGACATTAGATATGAATCGTACCTAACTGTTTCAGCTTACCTACAAATTTGACTTAAAGACAGACTTAGGAACAGCACTCGTTCGAAATCCTGGGACTGCCTGAATAGGATCATGCCATCTCCCAATAGAAATTATTTCACTTGTTCCTTTCTGATTTGGATGCTTTTTTTTCCCCCTTGTGTAACTGCTCGGGCTAGAACTTTCAGTACAATGCTGAGTAGCAGTGGTGGAAATGGTAATCTTGTCTTGTTCCTGATCTTAGGAGGAAAGTGTTCACTCAGTCTTTCACCACTGAGTATAATATTAGCTGTCGGTTTTTCATAAATGTCTTTATCATATTGAGTAATGTCCCTTCTATTCCTATTTTACTGAGTGTTTTTATCATTAAAGGGATTTGTGATTTATTTTTTACATGAATTTTGCCCCCAAAACTACAATGCTTTAACTACTATAGCTCAAAATATATTTTTATTTCCAGTAGGTCAGGCTCCTCCTCATTCTTCATCTTTTCCAAAAGTTTCTAAGTTATTCTCATTCATCCCACTCAGAGGTGCTTCAGAAGACAGGCTTGGCAATCTACTTTAAAAAGGTCACAGCCTTGAAAACCCTATGGAGCAGTCCTACTCTGCATGTATGGGGTTGCCATGAGTCAGAATCAACTCAGTGGCAACTAACAACAAAACAGTTTATTTTTTCAGTTGAAATTTTGGAATCATTTGGTCATGTTCCAAATAACTTATCTGGGTTTTACTTATAAGTACATTTTAGAATTATCTTTATGTGAAGCTAACAAAAATACAAACATTTTTTTAAATCACAACTATTTCCAAAGTTGATGAAAGTCATTCTCTATAACTACAAACCCAGTAAGATGTTATTTATCCACCACAAGATTTCTTTAATTGCTGTGTTAAGAGAAAACGGAAATGTTTTTAACATTGCTTCACTAGTTTATAAGATTCTGCTGGCAAAAGAACAATGAGAATGAACTCTGATACAATGAGAGAGGGGAACATGCCCCAGGCATTCTGGAAAACAATTAGGCCATACATCAGAAAACTCCTAACACAAAAGTTTTCTAGCCTTTGGCTCATTAATTTCACTGCTGGGGATCTATCCTAGGAAAATAATCAAGAGATAGATTTCAGTATTCATGTACAAGAAATGCATTGTTGCATTGTTCAGTAAAAAACCAGAAAAACCTAAATTTGCAACACTGAGGGAATGGGGTAAATAAATTAGGGTTTATTCATATGACAAGTTATCTAGCTGCTGAAAGACAAGTGATTCGTGAAGTATTGTTATAACAGATAAAATGTTCCTGATATAATATTACAGGGGGAAAAAGTAGGATTTTAAATATATATTCATTATGATTCAAATGCAGTATGTAAAAAGTAAATACACATACACCAGAAACACATTTACTGGTGAATATGGTAATTAGGAGCATGGGCTTTGGAAACAAACCAACCTGGTTCAAATCCCAGCCGTGCCGCTTTCCAGCTGTGTAACTTTGGGCAAGTTAGTTAACTCTCTATGCTTTAGAATGCCCACCTGGAAAATGAGGATAATAATAGTACCTACCTTACAGAGTTGAACTGACAATTAAATGAGATAATTCATGCAAACGGCTAAACATCATTCCTGTCCCACTGCAAGCACTCAATAACTACTAGCATTATTAGCACAGAAAACCAACAGGAGGAAACACCTCAAATGCTAACAGGGGTCAAATCGGTGTAGCAGAGTTCCAGTCTGTTTAATTTTCTCCTCTATACTCTTGTTTTTCCAAATTTCCTACAATAGGTACCACGTAATCAGAAAGGAAAACGCATTATAGAAAGAACGTTTAATTAATCGGCAGTATTTGCTACGTGCAACAGTGGATGAATGCAGGAAGGGGGCAACATGTCAATCAGAGAGTGAGCCATGCCTCTTACTCCCTTTCCACCAAGTTTCAGTTCTCTGGAACCACTGCCCTCCCTCCAGCAGCCACGACTCACGGGTGCAGTTCCCCGGAAGCCGTCCTCTCCAGTGTTGCTCACAGGAAACTCTCCCTGCCAAACGTTGGCATAATGTTGACCTTTTGGCTGCAGTTTGTTGCCCCAGGGGAAAAGCCTGTCAGAAGAGACACAGGCATCAACACAGGCACAAGCCTCTGGGTTAAAGTCAAGAGAAGGAATGCAATGAAAGAGACAACACTGCTAGATTGTTCTGAGTGAGTTATTTTTAATTTCAGATATGTAAATAAATACATATTTTAATGAAGTTTTTTTTTTTAAACTTCCATATGCCAGCTTGTGTCAAGTTCACAACAACCTTATTAGTCTCTCCCAAGTACTCAGGAGACCTGGTATCAATTGTATATTTAAAAGAAGGGCTGACAGAAGTCTGGGAAAGTAGACATCATTTTGGACTTATATGGTAACATGATCAGACACTATTGCACCACATTTTTTTTATTAAGCCTTCACTATTTTAAGGAGCCTTTCCTAGAAGATGTGACCCACACAGGAGTTTTCTGCCTCATAGCTCTCGAAGCAGAGGAAAACTGCCACTTCAGAAGAAGCCTAAAATAAGAAAATGCTAAAAGCAAGGTAGCCTGCCAAGTAGCTCTAAGGAGTAATATGCAATAACAGGGAGTCAAATTGCTTGAACTGGCTTTGGACTGGAGGAAGCCCACTTCACCAGACACTTGGCTCTGAGGTGCTGTGAGGGGCTGGTGACCTATTCCTCAAGGTCTCCTAAGTAACTCTGTGGAGATGAAGGAAATCCAGTAAGAGAAAAAGAGTTTTTAAACCAACTTTCTAACCTAAGTAAGTTCCACAGTTTTAGAAAAAGTTCAACATGTTGTTAGGCAAGATGAGGCCCTCCAAGTACCTATTTTCCAGGCCTCCTCGGCAGCTATATTCCCATTCAGCTTCTGTGGGCAACCGCTTTCCCGCCCACGTGCAGTAGGCCACGGCGTCGTTCCAGGAGACATGGAGAACCGGGTGATCCAGCCTGGGGGAAAGCAAGGGCAGAGTGAAGAAAGGCACAGACTAGAACAGGAAATAGAAACGAGCTTTGGCAAAGCTCCAATAAAATCATCCTCAATTCTGTCTATGACACCTAGCTCCTGGTCTGGAGCTCTAGTCCCAGACAGACCACATTTGTCACCCTCCACCAAGGGTTTCTGACATCACAGGCTCCGAAGCGTACTATAATTCCTTTTGGAACTAGACTCAAAACATTCCTTCACCTTGCTGACTTGGATTCCCACAAAATTTCACTCAGTATGGTGGATGTGGAGATGCATCACTCAAATCCCTTCTTGAAGGAAGAAGCGTGGCTCCAGCTGCTGGGAGCGCTGTCAGTACAAGTTTCCAGTGGCCAGCTCCTTCAGGGTTTCCCACAGCTGCAGAGAGCCACCTCTGAGCCACCACCAATGACTAATCACAGCAGGGGCATAAAGGCCCAGCCATTTGGGCCCCACCGGGGACAACGCTGATGGGACATATGCATGCACACGTTCTCACTGGGTTTGGCTGAAACTCTGTCAAGCCTGCACGGCAGTTTGACTTCTGTCCAATCCACTTCCACTAGTGGTGGTGGTGTTGTTTGATGCCGTCGAGGTGATTTTGACTCATAGGGACCGCGTGTGACACAGCAGATTTGCCTCATAGGGTTTTCTTGGCTGTAATCTTTATAGGAGCTGATCGTCAGGTCTTTTTCCCAGGGAGTGGCTGGGTGGGTTGGAACCGCCGAACTTTTGGTTAGCAGCCAAGTGCTTAACTGTTGCACCACCAGGGTGGATCCTTAATAAATATTCTGCACAGCAAACTCTATCTCAACATCTGTTACCAGAGAACCCAATCTGTGCTACCACAGATCAGCCAGCTATATTTGCCTCACGCTAACAGATTCCAAGTAAGTCTTTCCTCTCCTGAAGGTATGGAGGGATGGGAAAGGTTGCGGGAAATTTTGAGAATAAGGGATATACACATTTAGCCAGCACTAAGTAACATTAAATTGGAGCCCTGATGGCACAGTGGGTTAAGTGCTCGGCTGCTAATAGAAAGGTCAGCAGTGCGAACCCACCAGCCACTCCACAAGAGAAAAATGTGGCAGTCTGCTTCCATAAAGATTTACAGCCTCAGAAACCCTATGGGGCAGTTCTACTCTGTCCTATAGGATCACTATGAGTCAGAATTGACTCGATGGCAACAGGTTTGGTTTGGTTTAGGTAATACTGATTTAATTCCTGGTTCACTTTTTTTTCCCAAGTGGACTACACACTTCTACTCCATTCCTTCCATATCTTTGTGTTCCCCAGAGCAATTACACCAGGACTTTCATTTATCTTTTCAACAACTGTTTACTGAATCACTACTACGTGCTAGTCACTGATTTCAGCACTGATGAGAAACGCACTTTTCTCAGGAGATTCAGTGTTTACTGTAGGAATAATACACATTTCCCTCAAGGGTTTCCTTCTTCACTCAGCCTTTCCCCTCTACTATTGAATTCAGGAAATGAGACATTTATTAGGAACTAAGAGACCCAGTCAACCTGCAGTACCCAAGAATCCTATGAATTTGTCCCTCACAGTCTATTTCCAAAATATCTGCCACTCACCCATATCCCCATAGTAAGCATGGAGACTGCCAACTTAGGCTTTGAAAGATTTCTGACATTTGTGAAGGGGCTATATCCCTAAAGCTGACCTTCATGTACTTCCAGCTCCCTGACAATGAGGACAATAACCAGGAATATTGTTAAAAATAGAGGCTCAAAAATCCCATCTGAAAAATTAGGTTAGGAGAGCAGTTTTCTTGGGCTGTTGAGTCCTCAACCCAAACCCTTGTCATCTCCAGGGCTTCCAGTGCTACTCTACTTTTGCTTGAGATAATTATTTCCTTGCCACCCTGGAGATTCACTGACCGACTTGCCGCTCTGTGGTTTTTCCATCACATGGTGGCTAAAAGTATGTCAGTCCAGGACTCAAGACAATGTGAACCCAAAACCCAAGGACTGGGCTTTTGCAGTGGCCACCTGGCAGGATACAACTACTATCCACAAGAACAGTCTTCTTCCTCATAATGACCTGCTTATAAGAGACCAGGTGATCGGCTGTAACAATTAAACATGCCATGAGATTTGTAACAGGCCTGTTGAAATCGGGGGTGGGGGTCCCTCAAAGAGGTAACTCTCACAGGCCAAATGAGAAAGCAAAGAGGTCACTTAATAAGAGCCTTCTATGAACTAGGCACAGTGTTTGGGTCTTTACATACATTATTCTTTGTCATTTTATTTTACTACCAACCAATTAGGGTTTGTCATTCTCAGCATTTGACAAATGAAGACATGCAGCCACAGGGTTCCTTTTCAACAGCACAGGAATTGATTTTGGAATGAAGCATGTAAACTGGGAAAAGAACCACCTGCCTCACCTGTGAACAACAGTAGAGTCGGGCCCTTCTGGGTGTCTCCAGTTAGCGCCTTTAACAGGTAACCACCAGGGAGCAGCTGCCACCTCAAAGCAACCCAGAACATACCAATGTTAGCTACAAGGACTCTAGAAAGACATTGACTCAGTAAGTTCAGCAAAAATCTTACTGTCTGGTATTCAACTTCCATTTGAGCTACTAAACAAATCCCTTCACTAGAATACCAAAAGTAAAGATTTATATTGTGCAAGGGCACTCCAAAATTTGAGGTGCCTGGCATGACTAAAATGGCTTGCACAAAGTCTGACTTGGACTCCATTTTGTCCTAGACTCTGCTTCTGTTTCTGAGAAGGTGACTCATGACTGTAGGCGGGTAAACAAGGGAGAGGAAGCTTGCCCTCAGAAAGAATGTGGTTGAAAGTAGATTAACTAGCACGCAGAAAGGTGCTTACATGAGGAATTTGCCTGGCCATGTCCTTCTTACATAAAGAACTTGCCTGGCCATGTCCTTACACAAAGAACTTTCCTGGGCATGTTCTTAATGATCAGAAGAACTTACTTTAGCTAGCCAATCAGAATATTTTTCACTGTTAGTTCCTGATATTTTACTATATAAGCCCTGCATGGCCTCTGACTGGTGGAGCACTTTGTAACTGCCTGGTTGCTCTATGCCAGCCCAATTCATGAATCACTCTATCCTTCAAAAACCTCTTTTGCTTTTAATTTAAGCAGACCCTGTGATTTTGCTCTATGACAATAGGTACACAAAAAAATATTTATATGTAAATGAATCTTTAACAAGAAATTAAACAAAAAAAATCTTTAAACAGAAAAAAAATATTTCATACCATAAAACACCAGAGTGATAAAATAAATCTATATTGAAATGGTATAAATCTCCAAGAATTTTAAAAAGATACACTGATAGTTAATCCTCTATAAGCTCTAACAAGTGAGAGGCAGGTAGTATTGCTGCTACTTAAAAGACAGGGTACCAGAGCTAACTTTACAATTAAGTGCTACTCTGAAGGTCAACCAAGGTGGATTGAGATCAGGCTGAAGTACAGGATAAATGCCAGGTGTGTGTTTTCAAGGGACTCTGGTATATTTCCAGCCCCAACATTAGCTGTGTGGTCCTGGAAACTTCAGTACTTGTCTGGCCCCTCCATGTCCTCACCTGGGAAATGAGACCAGGCACTACCTAACTCACCTCATTCAGACCACTACAAAACCCAAACCTGTTGCCATCCAGTACATTCTGAAGGTCAAATTAGATAAAATTTGAAAGTACCCAACAAACTACTACTAGGATCTTAACTTCTACTTTATGGTTCTGTTTACCAGAAGGACGATAGCAAGTGGTCTTTGTTTAGTGGATGGTTAAGAGCAAAGGCTTTGGAGCCAGTCAAAACTGGATTTGACCTCTGAAAAACCAAAAAACCCACTGGTGTCCACCTGATTCCAACTCATCATGATCGTATAGGGCAGAGTGCAGCTGCCCCATAGGGTTTCCGAGGCTGTAAATCTTTTATGGAAGCAGACTGCCACATGTTTCTCCCACAGAGTGGCTGGTGGGTTCGAACCACTGACCTTTTGGTTGGCAGCATAGCGCTTTAACCACTGCGCCACCAGGGCTCCAGTAAGTCTTCTTAAAACCAAACAATAGTTTAGTTTAACTAGTAAAGAATGTCTGCCTTGGGCATTATGCTCTTTTAAGAACTATTTATATGGGATCAAACTAATAACAGCAACTCAAAAGGATAGGAGCCTTAAGGGGCAGTGAGTTTATATTTATGAGGAGGAACAACTCCGAAAAGGAAGGTGAGAATGGCTGCACAATATGAAGACTGTAATCAATGTCATTGACTTGTACATGCAGAAATTGCTGAATTGGTGTATGTTCTGCTGTGTATATTCTCAACAACAACAAAAATAAGATAAATTATAAAAACACAAAGAACTAGATTTGAATTGTGCCTTTCCCATTCACCCTGTGACCTCTGGCAACTGACTTAATCTTCCCACGACTGTTTGTTGATGAAGAGAATAACAATATCTACCTCATGGGTATTACAAGAAGGAAATATACATAAAGGACTTTCAATTATGTCTAACACTTAGCAAACACTCAGAAAAGGGAACCAGTCTCAACCATAGCCTCATGACAACTAGTCACGAAGAAAGTGCCACAAACTAATAATAATCATTGTTGCTGATAACTCTTGAGTTAGAAGTTTACAAAAGATTCTTCTAGTATAAACTAGAGCAGACTCAGGGTTATCCCCATGACAATGTTACTCTTAATCATTGGCATCCTGATGAGCTTGAGTGAATGGAAGACAAAAGGGATGGGATCCAGCTAACACAGCAATCACTGAAGAAACCCAACTCCATTCTTGTTCCTCTTCTTTTTTCCACATCAACACACTCAAAACATTCATGGCATCTCAATCATGATCTGATGGAAGAAACCTTTTTTTTTTTTTAATTCAACAAGCGAGGCATTATGTCCTTAAATTACATTACTGCAAGGTGTTTTATTTTACAGAAAGCAGGAGTGATGAAAGGCATGCCTTCTTTCTATTTTATTTGGGGCACTGCAGAAACTTTATGGATGTTCTCGTTGACCGCACTGCTTGATGTTTAAGTGGCAGTGACAGGTAATTCATTCGATGTCAAGGGACGACGTGCACAGAAAACCCAGGTCGTCCGCTCTCCTTTCAGGGAAATCTTCAGTTCACTCACTCAACTCTGTCTCACCCCCCACACTGATAAGATAGGCTCCACCATCACCAGAAGGTTTTACTGCTTAAATTAAAAAATAAAGAAAGAAATAAAAAAGACAAATATGGCAAAATGCTAACCTTTGTTGAATCTGAGTGGTAGATACTAGGATGCTTTTTTTCGTACCTTTTTATGTTTGGAAACATTTAATCATTAACAATTAAAAGCAAAAAAACCCACTATTTATCCATCCTACTATTAATGGGCCTTTGGGTAGTTTCCAGTTTGGGGCTATGCTATGAACATTTTGGTAAACATACATGTGCATTTCTACTGATTGTACACCCTGAAGTCACACAGCTGGATCACAGGGTACGCATGTGCCCAGCTTTAGTAGAGAGTCAAAAGTGAGCCACACAGCACAAGTCCTCCAAGGCTTCTGTGATGTGTGGAACCCCCTTGCAGCAGGGGCAGATTAGCCAATAGACAAGGTAAGCAAGGTGTTTACCTTCCTTACCAGGTCATCTGTAGTGAACAACTTCACATGGGAAACTACGCATTAGTACGTGGGCACAAGTAAACCCGTACTTACCTTGCTTACTGGGTCATCAGCCCGTCAGGGATTGTAAATTTGAAAAGAGGCTTTGATCTGTAGGAAGATGCTGTAGGGTTGGGAGAGAGGCAAATGCCAGCCATAACTAGAAGCAGAATCTCTGATGTGGTAAAAAAATATGAAACTGTTCACTATGGATGATCTGGTAAGCAAGGTAAGCACCGTGCTTACCTTGCCTATTGCATAATCCACCCCTGCCCCACAATAAACAATTTGGCCTTTGGTCCTGGGGCCTGTGAGCTGGACCACATCTGAGGCTAATGAGTGGTGGCTGACCAGACAAAGAGGGGCCACCTGGGGGCCCGATGTGAGTAAGCCTCAGGAGGCCTGATGTAATCTATATGGCCACGCGGTGAGGCTAATGAAGGCCTTGGAAGATGGAGGCTCAGCGGAGTTTCCAGGTTTCCAGGGTGGTGAGAGCGAACATGTGCTCTCAAGACAGTAAGCAGGTACCCTGGGGACATGGAAGCTCTGCACCGAGACTCCTCCTGGACCTCTTCCTATGCTTGTATCCTTTCTTCTTGTACATTAAAGACACCCTTTGCCCTGGAGTTTGTGAGTCATTCCAACAGACTACTGGACCTAAGAAATAGAGAAGGGGCCGGTATCCACTGACCTGGCCCCAGGTGAATGGGAAAAAGACAGAGAAAGGACTGCGCTGGCAGCTGGATCTGAACTGACAAGGGAAAGGAAGCTGAGATTCCCACAGGATGAGTAGGCGTGTGTAATGGGATTTACTATTCACCACAGATTTGGCGTCAGAAGTGGATGATCTCAGCCTCCCTGGACTGGCCTGACAGAGCTTCCTACTCCTTCTTCAAAGGGGAGCTTCCATGCAGTTGGAGTAAATATAGGAGATCCTCGGGCAGCTGCCCATTCTCCTGTCCTCTTTCCCTCAATTCTGTCTAGCTACAAATATTTACTGAGCACCTACTATAAGCCAGGCAGTGAGCCTAGTTCCTGAAGGGGTCAGCAATCCCCAGAAATCCTCAGAGCATGAATGAAAATAGCTGGCATACTGATAGTTTGTAAATGATTTAACATGTAATAGTTGATTAATTCTTTAGTTGTACGAAGTGTGGACCTGGTCATTTAATTTTCCTTCAAAAATGTCTCTAAAATTCAAATTGGTGGGTCTATACATTAGTGCTACAGTTCTGACTACATTCCCCCCTGCCCAACACACACACTTTGGTTCATTCTAGATATCTGCTTTCATATTTCTCTCAGTATCTCTTTTTTCAGAAATCTTTCACTTTACCCTAGCAACCCACCCTAAACAAACCACTAGATTACCTGACTTAAAGTCATAGAGCCACATGATGTCTGACCAACCTCAACGATATGCACAGTAAAACAGGAGGAGTACATTTACTCTGGCTACAGACTGGCGGAACCCCAAAAGGTCCTGGTAACACTGTCCTTGAACAAGAGCCACAATCTTTTTTTTTTTTTTTTAATTAACAACATCTGACACAAGTATGCAAGGATATATACGTTGTTATTGTTGTTGTGTGTCAAAGAATTGATTCTGACTCATGGCAACCCCCATGTGTTACAGAGTAGAGCTGCAGCATAGGGTTTTCTGGGCTATGATCCCTATGGAAGCAGACTACCAGGTCTTTCTACCACAGAGCTGCTGGGTGGGTTCAAATCACCAACATTTGGGTAGCAGCAGAGCGCTTAACCATTGCACCACCAAACCAGAAAAAAAAACCAAACCCGTTACTATGGAGTCGATTCTGACTC